CTTTTGACTTGGAAGCAAGTTTCCAAACTATGTTGGGGACTTTGGGAGTGGGCCAAGGGAAGAGAGTAGGAAAGAGAGGAAATTAGGACTGTTAAGTGCACTGAATAAAAGTAGAGTATTTAGTGCAGACCTATACAGTGAAATTGTTTTGCAAAATATCTCTTTTAAATATTAATATACAAAAGGTACTAAAGTAAGAGGCAGTATGCATACTAGTTAGGAGCATGAACTCTGGAGGCAGGACACCTAGGTTTTGAATCCCTTCTCTACCACTTACTAAACTATGTCACCTTGAACAACTTACTTCTATGTGCCTCAGTTTGCTCATTTGTAAAGTGGACATAATATAATAGTAGTAACTGGCAGAGATGTTCTGAGCATTAAATGAGTTAATATATATAACAGTACATAGAATAGTTCCTGGAATGTAAGTGTTTCCTATTATTATTATGGAATGATAGATTGGAAGTTAATATCTTTCTGTAATGAGTATAGATCTTAAATTAGAACAATTATAAGGCAAACTTTGAAAAAACTAATATATTGGAACAGATGCAATAGCTTACTATTAATTTAGAAAAATATATGCTTAAAATAAACCAGCAAGCATTTCTGTCTCTTAAACCACATTTCCTATTTTACAAAAGTACAGCATAAATTTAAAATGTATTATGATTATTTTCCTCATGAAACCAGCAACAATATTTATTAAAAATTTTTGTGAAAATACTAGGTTATGAATTTTTCTTTTTCTTTTTCTTTTTTTTTTTTGTCTTTTGTCTTTTTCCGTGTCCGGCAACGGATCACAACCCTCAGTGTTGCCCCCGTACTGGACGGGGGACCGGCAACGGGATCGCAACCCTCAGTGTTGCTCCCGCGCCTCGCTCAGCCAGTGAGCGGGAACCAGTCTGTATGTGGGATCCGAACCCTCAGGCGGGAGCGCCGCCGCATTTCCCAAGCGGCGCACCTGTTGCTCCCGCGCCTCGCTCAGCCAGTGAGCGGGAACCAGTCTGTATGTGGGATCCGAACCCTCAGGCGGGAGCGCCGCCGCACTTCCCAAGCGGCGCACTATCCAGTGCGCCACCGGGCCGGCCCTAGGTTATGAATTTTTCATGTGGTATTTCTACTCCTCACAACAGTCTTACAAGTAGGTGGTTTTATGCTTACCTTACAGATGAAGAAACTGATACGTAGAAAAGTTAAAGTTGTGTATAGTCAGATTTCACAGCCTGTCTGATTTTTTTTTTTTCCTCCCGACTTCCCAGGCCCCTCTGATTCTGAAGCCGATATTCTAACACATCATGATACTTGCACTGGGTGTTTATTAAAAACAGAATTATTATAAAGATTATAGTTGCATAATATATAAATAGAAAGATAACCATTGTTCCTAAGCTTTACTCCTTCTGTGACTAGTATCGCTATTTTTCTCCATGCACCCAAAGGCTTATAACTGGCAGAGCAGATTATCAAAGCATTTGTGCTCTTAGGTTGGCCTATATTCTCTTTCTAGGAAACTACCATTATACTCTGTTTTTAATATAATGCGTTTTGGGGATTTCTCTGACACCTAAGAGGCAGGTGGGTATGTAGGCAGACTATTCAGTATAGGTTGAGCTCTAGAGAATTGGCACAGAATAAACAATAAAGAAATACTGGCTAATGTGGGGAGTAAAAATTAACTGTGCAGTAGAGAGATCAGACTGTCACTACCCTAAATCTAGAGTTAATATTTTCATCACTAATGGTGGGACAACCAGATACACTGTGTCTGCTACTGTTATGCGATATAACTTGTACATTATGTAAGATGAACTCTAGCCACACATTTTTAACTTGTATCCATCAAGCTGAAGCTTGTAGAACCAATTTCCAGCTAAATGCAGCTAAATGACACCATAAGGAAGCAACCAGACAAATCCAGAAGGTGGAATATCTTTCTGGACAACTTTCCCATCAACAAGTCAGAATTATGAAAAAGAAAGTGTTTTGGAATAAAAGAGATTTCATGGAAATACCTAGATGTAATGAGTGATCCTGGATTGGATCCAGGTTCACGAAAGAACAGTTTGGAAAAGATAGGAAATTTGAATATGAATTGGGTATTTCATAATATGAATTTTTACCATTAACTTTTAAGTGTGATAATGTTACTTTGTCTATCGTTTCTAAAATACTCACAATCAAGGAACAAATATATATATATATATTTAAATTGTAAAGGAAATATATAAAATAAAAAAGGAAATGAATGAACAAATAAAAGAGAAAAGTCTGGGCTGGAGATAAAGGTTTGGTAGTCAATACCATATATGGTAATTAAAACCATGAGAATAGATGAGATGAGATCACCTAGGAAAGTAAGGCAAGACAAGGATATGTGAACCAAGCAGACAATCAACATTTCAAAGGTTAAATACAGGAGTAAGAACTATCAAATTGATAAAGAGCAGCTGGAAAAATAGGACAACCATGAGTAGAATGATATTCCAGAAGCCAACGGAGGAGAGAGTTTCAAGATGGATTTCAAGCAATTAGTAATGTCAAATTCTAAAGAGAGCTCAAGCTGGATAAAGACTGGCAAATAATAAAACAGAAGGTCAGTGATGACCTGATCGAGAGGAGTTTCAGTAGAGTGACTGGAGCAGAAGTCAGAGGAGGAAAATGTGGTTGAAGAAGTGAAGACATCACTCCTCTTTCAAAGAAGATTGGAGTTTCTCAGAAAGATGAGAACCTGTACAAATAATACACATTGTTCAGATAATGAAATTCCTAGTAACTAATGCTAACATGCAGTTAACAGATAAGTGAAAGACAGAATGTAAGGGATAGAAGGTGATGGCAGAGTTGTAAAATAGAGGATTCCTCTTTACATTCCTCATGTAATACCCACATAAAATAAATATCTGCTATTATATTTACAATAGTCTGTAAATTCTATATAATTAAAGTTTGCATTTTTTCCTATATGTCTCCTAAAGAGAGGTAATATTGCAATCTTATAGGTAGATGTGTTTCACTGTATGAAATGGATCAATTCCCTTAAAAATTGGATGTAAAATACTTTTTTGGAAATCAAATAATTACATGAATTAGGAAAATTATCTCTTTAAAGGGGTGATGGAACCATAAGGCTGCAATCTGATTTCATCAGGTCATATCTTTATAAATATTAATAATAAATGACATGTTGATTTTACAACATATAATCCTTGGTCCCTTCTCTAATCCTATGAGATTTGCAGGACGGGTATTATTAGCCACATTTGACCCCCAGACCATTCTGTTTGCTACAAGGGAATTCTGCTTGAAAAAATTAGTGATTTTTTCTTTGGATGGATACTGTGTGTCCAGAAAGTTCTGGAAGAGCTAATAATAACACAACCCTGAGGATGTTTAGCTTTCTTAATGAATATATATATAGGAACCTTGGTCTTTCCACATTCTTAAGCTCAGTACAAGTGTCTTAACAGTCTTAAAAAAAAAAAAAAAAAACCACTTAAAAAAAATCATTGGTGAGGGCCAGCCCCGTGGCTCACTCGGGAGAGTGCGGCGTTGGTAGCACTGAGGCCATGGATTCAGATCCTGTATAGGGATGGCTGGTGCGCTCACTGGCTGAGTGTGGTGCTGACCACACCATGCCAAGGGTTGCGATCCCCTTACCGGTAAAAAATAAATAAATAAATAAATAAATAAATCATCGGTATATTTATAAAATAAAATTGTATGTTTTCTGTCCTTTGTTAAAAGACTAGGAATAAAATGTTTTATATACTTCTTTCTTTTAAAGCAATTACTTTTAACTAAAGTCAGCTAACTTTGAAGAAAAAAATGCACTCTTATCCTAATACAAAAAATATGTCAATTTTTAGTAATAACATTTACCCAATATTTTGGTAATATTTGATTTTGGTAATATCTGATTTATAAAAGTTCAGACTTTCAAGTACTGGAGTTTTCTTAAAGTGAGTCAGGACTACATTATACTATATAAATAATAATAGTTAATAATTATTAAGCACTTTCTATGTGCCAAGTTTTATGCTGGGTACCTAAAGATTATTGTATTTCATAGTTTCAATGGTACAACCTGTGAAGTAAACACTATTTATCATAATTCTCATTTTACATATGAAAAAACAGATTAAATCTTGCTATATCCAGATGAATGTAGATTTTAAAAACAAGTTATCTCACAATATGCTGAAATTTAATCACATTCCAAAACGATGATACTCAAAATCAAACTAAATAGTATTCCTTCCATTATTACGGTATGGACATTATTTTTCTATAGCTTATGAATTAAAATCTATAGGCATTTTGCAGATATAACATATTGTAAGAAGATACAAATATAGTACAATACTTAATTCCACCCCCTAAACATAAGTTTTTCCAAATTTTCTATAATGATGATGTAATTTTCATAATCAGAAAAAAGATTTAAAAATTGAAATTGACATTAAATATAGTAACTGTGGCAATTAAAAAAGATTTGAGGCCTTGGTTTTACATCTGAGAATTCACTCAGTATGTGTTCCAGCTTACTTACTTCACCTCTATATTTCACGTCCCCTGTTAAGGAAAAAGGTAGGTCTGTGGATGTGCAAACTGTTTTTTATAAGTAGAGGCAGCCCAAGAGAGCCTACTAAAGTCTGTAGCAACTCTGTATCCAAATACCTCATGGAAAGAAAAGTGGAATGGTTTGGGGCCCTACAAAGGTTAATAAGAGAAATTAGCAGAAATATGTTGAGGCACGCACAGTTGCAAAGACCCTTCACGACACCCTCTGATAACTCAGAACAACAATAAAAATGCAAATGCTGTTGCTGAGTCTAGTCTTCAGCAGGAGAGACGTTCTAATGGTTTATGTAATCCAACATAAATCTTAAATAAAGCCACATGTAGACTATACACTCTGAGATTGCATTCAGGAAGTTTAAAATATTTTAAAAACAAAAACTTTTGTTAACTACATTTGTAAACAGTCTTCTCACCTGCGTGGCCTGGTTCTTGGGGACATCATTTCATTCCCAAGTATGTGGTACCGTCTTGCTTCATGCAACAACTGATAACACTCAGGAGAATTCTGAATCAATTGGTCCACCTCAACTGTTTGAACAAAGTAGTTGGGATGCAACAGAGGAAGTCTTACATGTGTCAGGAGCTCATGTAACAATGGTCTTCTCAGATCAACAGCACGATAGACCCAACGCATGACGGCTTCAAAAACCATTTCCTCTTTACCAATGACAAGTTCATCGCTACAAATATAATCAATAAGTTCATCTTTGTCAAGCTCCAGAAATTCTTCATGCTGGGACACATCCTCAAAAGTCTGTAATGCAAAATTTTTGCATTTTGTGAAGAGTGTTTTAAGTGAATGGGTGTCAGCAAAGCGCTGGATTCCTAAGCAATTACAAGGATCAAGTTGTTCCTCCAAGAACTTGGCACATGCATCACGGAGAACACTAATCTGAAAGAGGCTTGATGTTTCAAAGAGATATTGTACATTCTCTGTAGTGATCTTCACCTTTCCAGTATAAACATACTGCAAAAAACATTCCATAGCTTCAGCTAAAATACCATTGATCTCAACCAACATTTCTCGACTCTCCCTGTGGTCATTACAAAACATAGCTCTAAAGTAGCTACTACAGGCTGAGAGAACAGCTCTATGGCAAGGAAATTCTTTTCCTTCCACACAAATGATCACATCTGTGAATAAGCGGCTATCTCGGAATTCATTAAATATCTGGAGTATGTTTTCAGCATGGGATGATCCTGAAGAGAAGTCAAAAAACTCATGACCTGTCAGAGATTTAGGGTCCATTTCAAAAACTTTACGCTTAGTTGCTGGGGAATCACGCACCCCGAGATCCTCTCTGTTTAGTCTGCGTCCCAATATTAGTACCATTGTTACATCAGTTGACTATATAATTGCTGAGAAATGACTGTTGGTGATTTTCTTTATGTGGCTAAAAGTGAAAAAAATGAAAACACTTCAATATGTAAAAAATTCCATATTCAAATTATATATTTTCATTTTGATGTAAACACTACAACAAAACACACAATTACTACATTTCATATAGGGTATAGAGCGCTATCTCATTTTAACAAAAACTGATAAAACAAAAATTGGCATTTACACAATTAGAACATTAGGGCTAATTTGCAATAGTACTCTTTGAGCTCTCCAGCTGAAAAGAAAACTATGTACTTTGCGAATTACTAATAACCTTCCAATTCCCCTTTTACACAGCTGGGTTTCATACTACTGACTGTAGAGTTAAGTCAAACTGGGTTAAAGAAACAGAATTGATTACAGTCAGATAAATAGTTATCTTAATACAGCACTGCTAGAGAGGACATTAGCTATATCTCTCAACAGCCTCTAAAAATATGTACATTGTTTGACCAGCAAGTCCCTTTCTAGCAATCTCTCCTAAGGAAATAATAGGGAATATGTAGAAAGATTTATCTACGGAAATGTTCAATATTATATTAATAGAAAATACATAAAACAACCTAAACACGCTGCAACAGGGGATCAGTTAAACCAGTTTATCTTCAGGATGGAACACAGTCTACACAGCCACCAAAAATTATATATAGACTATTTAATGACACGGGGAAGTATTAACCAGATAGTAAATGAAAAAGCAGATCACAAAACATGCTAATAGAAAAATGTATATATCAGTCATCTAGGGATAGAAAATAGGAGGTGCAAATGCAAAAATGTTAAGTAATTTGTTTACTTTCTCTATTTCCCCCCAAATTTCCATTACAGATATTTTGTTTTAAAACAAAGTACATTACAGTACTTCGTTTTAAAAAATTTTAAATGCATGTTACCTAGGCCCTGCTCCCTTTTACTAATAAGAAACATCCCCCAACTCCCCTCAGAATTATTGTGAATAAGTAACTCATGGATTGAGGCACTGGGCTATAGCCATCAATTCTCTTTAATGTTAATTTTAAGGGAGTTCTTCTATTCCTACTCTTTCCACATCACCAGGAGTTGATGTTGATACCTGATCTAAAACGTATTAGTAATTAGTTTAAGGGGCACTCAGAGTAACTCCCATCTATTTCCATACCCTCTGAATCTCATACACAATCCCTTCTCAAAGTCCCAACTTCTTCCTGAAATATTTCAACAGTCAGACATTCAGGCCTAAGTAAGGCAGCAAAAAGAAGACAGCTAAAGGACATCAGAGATAATCCAAAAAACAAGATGCCATCCTACATTCACAAGCAACAAAAAAAAAAACTGGGACTTGAGAGTTAACAATCTTAATTTAAGACTGTATTTTGTATTCCTTTGTCACATTAAATTGTACCTCATTTTTAAAGTCCTTGAGTGACACAAAGGGAAAGAAAATATGTAACATCAAAATGAGGAAGCAATTCATTCTTTATATATTCTCCTCTTTTTCATATTCTCATTTATTATCTTTATCCTCTTTTCTCAATCACTCTACTGCCCGAGATATCCTAGTTCCAGTACTCACTAGATACTTCCATGAGTTCCTCACTGAATTTACTTAATTTTGTCACTTCCATCACCCTCATCATCAAGTGTTTGTTATGTGCTAGGTCTAGAGTTTACAGAGATGTGAGATATTGCTATTAGAGTTTTTAAAAAATATACTTGTGACAAAGCATATTTACAAAAAGATAAATAATAATACTGTATTAGGTAGCATAGACAATATACCATACTGGTATAGACAGCATAGTTCCCCTTAAACTTCTATTAAGTGCTTTTTTTTTTTTTTTTCCTTTTTTTTTACCTCTTCATATAAATTAGCACTACCTTCCTGAAGTCTAGGTAATAGGATTTTCCCCAGGCAGATGTACGCCAGGCTATTCTGATTGTTCTGGGAAAAGTACTTAGCCATAACATCTGAAGGATACCTAAATGCATTCTGTACAGAATCTTTTCTCTTCCATTCTTCTGTCCACTCCCCAATTGTGCAGGTAAAGTCAGAAAAAATTCAAGCCCTTTTTATCCGAGATCACTAGGTGGGGATTCAGAGACAGTATGCTGATATCTAAAACATCCTAAAATGACTAAAGAAACATATAATGTTCTTTGGCCACCTCTAAGAAACCTTGGCAAAAACTGAGGAAGTTCTTGGAAATCTACCAGGTAAGGCTTTAGGAACTATTAGAAGCCAAATCTGTGTACTAACCATGTATCAACTAGTTTAATGAAACCACAGAGGCTGTACTTACCATACAAATAAGAAATTAAACAGAATAACAAAACTAATCTTTTTTTTTTTTTCCGTGCTTACCACGTGCCAGGCCTTTTCTAAAGTCTTCATATGATTTAGCTAATTTAATACTAACAACTCTATGAGGTTGGTATTACAACTAATGAAAAAGTTGGTTTACAGCCTTAGGACTTTTTTTTTTTTCCTTTTTGTCTTTTTTTCGTGTCCGGCAACGGATCGCAACCCTCAGTGTCGCGCCCGTACCGGACCGGGACCGGCAATGGGATCGCAACCCTCGGTGTTGCACCCGCACCTCGCTCAGCCAGTGAGCGGCCGGTCTGTATGTGGGATCCGAACCCTCGGCGGGAGCGCCACCGCGCTCCCAAGCGGCGCACTGTAGCAGTGCGCCACCGGGCCTGCCCAGCCTTAGGACTTTATACACAGGATTCAGATAGATTTTTCCAAATGGGCAGGAACTATTTTACAAAGTAAGTCAAAGAGTGACTAAGTTAAAAAACAAAACAAAACCTAAAACCAAAAACAAAAACATAAAATTCCAAATATACAAATATATATGCAATTTATTTCCTAGATACGTAACAAAGGTTTGTGATATAATGAAACAGTTATGACAATGGAAGATCACATAGAAGGCCTATTTAAATGAACACACACAAAAGTAAAAATAAACCTAAGAGAATGTTTGCTAATGGCTGGTTTTTGGAGTAAATGGCAACAAAGTAACTACCACAAATTTAGTTACTAAAATTAGTTAATATTGAGGGAATATTTTGTCTACCTGTATGTTATGGCCCAAGGAAGCTTAATTTTAAACTGTAATCTAATTATGCTTTGGAGATTTTAGGTAACAGATTTGCCTGAGAAAAAATAAAATCTCTACTTAATTTTGTTAATTTTAAAACCTAAAGGAATAAAAACGTATGAGTTTAAAATTTTTTTTATTAGTTTTAAAATTTATTATCAGTAACTGAAAAAAGAGTTCCTTCCCATCTCTTTTAAGATTTTTCTAATTACTTAGATAATTCATGTTTGCCTCACTGGGTTATGGTTGTCCATGCATGTGTGTACAAGTCTGCATGTACATGCACACACACACATAGGTTAAAAATTTTAAATCCACTTATAATATATAGAATCACTTCCAAATTCCAAATTCCCATACAGGGGCAGTAGCACATGTATCAAATATGCTTTTAATCTGAAGTTATCTCGATAACAAGTTCTATACACAGAAATCTATCCCCCAGAGCAAGACAGATCGCTATTGTTCCTGAATGTCAATTTTTTGCTGTTGCTGAAACTTCAAAAAGTTAAAAGCATGTAATATCACAAATGATAAAAAAAAGGGAACATTTCAATTAATAAACAGACTGTGGTGGCATGAAATATAACTCAAATTTTAATATTAATGTTTTACTAATCTAAATTCAAATTATGGTTGAATTAGCCACAAGTCAGCTTCCCAAATCACAAATTTATTCTTCATATCAGCTAATCTAATTTAAATTCTTATTGCCTTTCAGATGAAAAAAATTTACAAAAGCAGAGTTACAATTAACTCTGATTAGTGATATAATTACTAGTGTTAACAAAAATCTTGAGACATCTGCTTCCATACATTTTAATTTTCTTAATGTTTAAATGAAAATGTGTTTAGAATGCAAAACAAAATAGTGTAAGAACTAAGTATTTCTCTTTGGCTAAAACAGACGAGTAGGAAAACATATTAGAAAGGATACTCTGCTTTCTATGTCCAGTGATCTTACTGTATCTAGTATTTGTTAGAGAAATTTGGGGATAGCATATTGAGTAAGTATTAATATAAAGCTAATTAAAACTTTGTAGGAGTTAAGTAAGAATCTGTCTTTTTATGCTATTTTCTGCCTCTTAATCTCATAGTTGTTTCCTTGATTTGTTGACTGACAAAAGAAGTCTTCCTTTCCACTGCTTTTACCCAGTGAAAAACTGAAAATCCTGGATTAGAACACCCATAAAATCACTTGCTATTATTCAACAGCAACAAGATACTTGTTTACTGCTTTGTATGTAAGAAAGACTATCTCATAAATTTCATAGATCCTTCCAAGCAGTTTTGGTCTGCTGCCTCCTAGCTTTTTGGACATGTTCACTTTCTCTGGACTTTCTCAGAACTCTCTCATTAACCAGTATCCACAACAGTAACAAATATAAAATAAACTCTTCCTATTTCTGACAGGGTAAATGATCTGCAAGGGGCATCTTAGAAATGTGAGATGCATTTCAAAGTGTATCATTTGGGCTTCCAGATGTAATATGTTAGCTTTTGCCTTCACATTTTATACAAATAAAATACTGTAGGGCCGGCCCGTGGCTCACTCGGTAGAGTGCGGTGCTGATAACACCAAGGCCCCGGGTTCGGATCCCACATAGGGATGGCCGGTTCGCTCACTGGCTGAGCGTGGTGCTGACAACACCAAGTCAAGGGTTAAGATCCCCTTACCGGTCATCTTTAAAAAAAAAAAAAAGATAAATAAATAAATAAATAAATAAATAAATAAAAAATCTTCTACTGTTGCTTAACTTATCACGCATGTTTTCTAATTTCTCCTCCAACCATGTTCCTTGAGGGCAAGGACAGGAGGCTCTCAATTTAATTTAATAAATGTTTACTGAAGGATTCTTAAGAGTGAGGCACTTAGCAGTTTAAAAAAAAAAAAAAAAAAAAACACAAATAAAATACTTTAACCAGTAATGGTTAAATATTTAATCATATCTCAAAGTAAGTATCTAATATAAGTTCAAGACTGATCATAAATGAACTCACACATAATCAAGCAAACAAAACACAAGATTACGGGTTGTATTCTTCTAAAAATTGTGGAAATATCAAAGCATAATTACTCCCAGCAGGAAAAAGTAAGCAACTAAGTAGGTATCTCTGGACAAAACAAATGGGAAAATGTTTGTTCCAAAGAAATATAATGACTGAAAGTTATATCTAGATGAGTTAGTAGATACAAGTGTGATCAGACTGTTATGTCAGTGACTGTCTGCCCAAGCTACACAATTTTGTCTGGAAAAGCTAGAATCTTCTTGCTTCTCTCCCTCATTTCTTCAGGAGCTTTTACTCCTGGAGCTGTACTCTCACTTGAAAAGATAACCTTTCTTAACAGAAAGATTCTCCTGGTTAAGGGTGCTGTAGGGTTTATTTCCAACTGCAGAACTCATAGACATTCTGATAGTTTCTGATTAAGTAGATTTAAAATCACATGTTTTTGCCCTATGTCCCAGAAAACCAAATGGAGATCATTAATTTTGGTATCTTGAAGACTAGAGAAAAATGTAGAAGAGGAACCAAGGCTTTCAGGAAGGAGGGGAAAGAAGTGGGTAAATACTTTATGTAGGAACAGAAATGACTGTGACTCTGCCTTCCTTTATGATTTAAGGATAGAATTAATTGTTCCTTACTTTGATTGGCTTAAGTAACCCCTGGTTAAAGAAAATAGTTCAAATTCTCTTATAATGATGTTTAGTTTATAAATATTACAAATATACCTTTTTAGCACTTGCTTGATCAAAGTCCCAGTCAAAATATTTGTGTTGTTTTAATTTCCACACCTAAAATAAATGGAGAATAGCAACATATAAATCAGATACTAATCAGTTCAAGTACAACTGGCATTATTTGCTAATATGTTGAACAAAGTTTTTAGTAAATTCCACTTTCTGTTAGTTCACTCTTGCATAGAAAATCATTAATGAATAAAAATTTCTTAAAGCAAATTAGTAATTTTATGCTCTTTTACATACAAATTAATTCCTTATTTATCAAGTTTCTTACTTGACAAGTCAGATTCCTTGAGTGAAAGATTAGTAAACAGGGGCCGGCCCGGTGGCGCACTGGATAGTGCGCCGCTTGGGAAGCGCGGTGGCGCTCCCGCCCGAGGGTTCGGATCCCACATACAGACCGGTTCCCGCTCACTGGCTGAGTGAGGCACGGGAGCAGCGCCGAGGGTTGCGATCCCGTTGCCGGTCCCCGGTCCGGTACAGGGGCAACACTGAGGGTTGCGATCCATTGCCGGACACGGAAAAAGACAAAAGACAAAAAAAAAAAAAAAGAAAGATTAGTAAACAAATATTCATATTGAAAACAAGCTGGGGCTGGCCCGTGGCTCACTTGAGAAAGTGTGGTGCTGACAACTCCAAGTCAAGGGTTAAGATCCCCTTACTGGTCATCTTTAAAAAAAAAAAAAAGAAAAAAGAAAACAAGCTAATGTTGGCACTGAGATGAAAAAATATATACTCTTTGATAATTCCACATTGACTATTTGAAGAAAGTCTGGAAATTGATGCTTTACCTGAGTTCAGGCCATTAAATAATTCTAACAGTTAATCCATGGATATTACCAAAAGTAAACAGTTTAGTCACTATTTATTATATAACTACAGAATCAATTTGAAAAAAAAATCTCAAGAATTCTGAGTCATTCAGAAAAAAACCATTTAAAAAAATCCTTGGTTTTCTAGAGTTTCTATACAGAATCTCTAACCATATCAAATTATTTTATCTTTTTTTCCTTTTTGTCTTTTTTACTGACCGGTAACGGGATTGCAACCCTCGGTGTCGCGCCCGCACCGCGCTCAGCCAGTGAGCGGGAACCGGTCTCCACATAGGATCCAAACCCTCGGCGGGAGCGCCACCACGCTCCCAAGCGGTGCACTCTCCAGTGCGCCACCGGGCCGGCCCTCAAATTATTTTATCTTTTAATACATAAATGTATATTTCTTCTGCTTTGTTGAGCCTTATAGACTTAATACCTGTAGAAACCAACTAATTCAACAATTTTATTTTATTTTTTGGTGGAAGGGTAGAAGAGCAATGCTTGAGAGAAAATACCAGAACCTTGAGCTGTGCACAGAATAGCAATAGTATTCAAATACAAATGGCTCTGGTTTCTGGCCCAGATATCTACAAATAGAACTTGTAAATTCTTAACAAGTTTAGGCAAATTCAAAAGCTGATCCCAAAACCAAATAAAAAATACCAAATGATTTTTTTTTCATATATGCACCAACACATCTCTATACCCAGATTGTGCTATGATTATGAGGTGAATGTTAACTTGTGTGCTTCTTTACTTTCAGAAGTCAGTCTACCTTGTGTGTACCCTTGGTAAAGAATATTGCAACTCAGTCAAATTAGGGGATTGTTAGTTCTAGCTAAGTAAGTGTTCCTTCTCAATGGATAATAAGATCCTGAGCCAATGTAGGGATTCAGGTGAATTCAAAAAACATTTATAGAGAGCCTTGTCTGTGTCTAGCACTCGGGCCGCAAATATTGGATTCAGATCCAATTCTAGACTGTACGGGGTTGGCTAAGATTAGAACCAAACAAGAACTCCAAGATTGATACTAAAATATATTCAAATTCTCAGCATTTCTCTATCAGGAAACATGTGCAAATTGGAACAGAGCTTCTCATGACAGATTTGGTCTAGACAGAAAGGGCAAGGCAATTCACCTGGTCATTTTCTGCAGGATTTTTAGGTAACAGTTACCAACCTAATAAGTAAGGGCAAGGGACAGAGGTCAGGGTACAAAGTCTGAAGGAGATGAATAATATCAGAATTGATCTACAGCATAGTTGTACTGTAACAAGCTTATTTTTCCTTTAGAATGCAATAATCCTATACAAAGAGATTACTATCATCCTTACAGAGAGTATGGATTAAAGAGGGGCTTCTAAAGACTAATAAATACCACAAAACAAAGGAAACCAATAACATCCTTAGTAGCATGGCCCTTATAACTTGTAGTAGTGAATCATCACATGCAATGCTCTACATTACTCAATTTTTTCTAATTTAACCTTGAATGAAGAACGACAGAGACATAGAGCAGTTAACAAGAAAGGTTAACCAAGAAGAGGTTTATCTTTAAAGATAACAGAAACTCAAAAGAAGGAAAGCCAGAAAATAATTGCAACATGGTCAATCCTTTATTTTAAAAATAACCAGAAAATTACATTTAAGAAGGTACTATACAAAACCAAGCAGTTTTATAAATTCCAGATATTTTCACCCTATTGTTTCAAAAGCTATTTCCTTGATGATCGCTTTTTAGAAATTACAAATTTGCATTTAAATTTTTAATTTAAAGGGTTACTCTGGATCAGTGGTTCCTGAACCAAGTTTTACAAATGTAATATTTAAAGTCCAGTCTTCAAGCTATTTTCAACATTTCCCATTTCTTAATGGAACCACCAAGACCATATTTGCCCAGGATAAGATATTAGAAGTCAATTAAAACCTCAAGTTTCTTTGGCTAGAATTACAGCAACTAGTGATTATTTCAGTTCACTAGAATCTATAGGCAATACACTGTGTAACTTTGATGAGAAAGAGAAATAAAAGAGGTACCTGGTTATGAAAAATTTAGGAGAGCTTAAACAACATGTCAGACTAAACAATATGGCTCTATAAATAAAAAAGAACACTCTTCTCCTAAATCACAAGAAAAAAAAATCAAATTTCTCAACAGTGTTTCTCTTCCTTGGCTTAAAACTATACCCCAACTGCTAAAGGAAGGGGGGGAAAAAACCCCAAAAACAAAAGAATTGTTAATCCTCAGACATCACACCTGGTATATCAAGCTGCCCTACTGAGCCTATTCACCCCTTTCACTAGATTTGACATGTAAAATTCATGTCATTTGGTTTTATCCTGCTAGCATAGATTCTTTAAATACCTAACATGCAGTTAGGTACTTAACGCATTATTTTATTTTAAAATTGAAAGAGCTATAGATAAATGGTACAGTTATGTTTTCTGTTAGTGAAATTGTTTTTGGTTCTTATGTCAGAATTAATTAAAGCTGCAAGGATGCCACTAGGTAGGTGCTCTGTCATTTGAACAAGTTTGAGGTCTAGTATTCTAGATGACTTCTCTATGTATAAAAACACTTGTAAATCAGTGATTTTTATTTACCTTAGTGGTGACAAATTATTTACAGAAATAACCTTTAGAAAACTCAGTAAAGAGTAAAGCTTAATCACTTTTTCTTTTCTTTTTCTTTTTTTTTTTTTGGCAGGGGGCCAGTGTGGAGATCTGAACCCTTGACCATAATCACTTTTAAAACATCAATGTTAGTAGTCTCTAAGATATGCCAAGAGATGAAAAATTATAGTTCTAGAGTTATGAATTTAGGCAGAGTGACAAACTCTTAAAATTAAAAAAGTTAGTTTTGCTATTGTGTTTTTAATAGGAGAAAGAATAGGGGTTTTAAAATGTCAATAGTTGTCAGTGACCACATAATCTTTAATTGTTTGAGCACAACAGAAATAAAATCACACAAAATGTATTTTTCATATGTATACTAGAGAGGATATTTTATTTACTTTTTTATTGTACAGTCCATACCTAAATATTTATTGAAAAAAGATGTCCCAAATTTCTAGGTAAGAGAAAAAAGTATACATAAAAATAACTGCAGTTACTTATTTGATAAATAGTATTTATTTTTCACAGGCTTGACCTTTGGGTTTTAATGAAACAGTAGAAAAAGAAGGAAGTTTAAAAAAAGCTTATTGAAAAAGCATTACGGCTTCAACCAGTTGGACAAAAGCCAGGAAAGTTTAAGTTAAAGCTGGTGGTAAGCCCTAACTCAGAATATTATTTCTTCTTCCTGTTTAGAGACTAAGTGGCAAACTTTGAATAGCAGGACTTTTTGGAGTGGTAGTTTCATTTTTTAAATAAAGTTAGATGGTTACATTTTGTGCTTATTTAGATATATTAAATGCTCTCAACGCACAAGTAATGAGGCAGTCCGATCACAGTAGCTGCTCATTCTGATCTAGCCATCTCTATGTCAATTTCAAAACTATATTAAGAATGCATAACCAGTAAGAACTGTTCATGTTCAATTCCTGCTTCACCTAGAGGAGCTCAGTCTTCCTCCCACAAAAATATTTCTCTTGGGTAAATTCCTACAGATTTACAGGAAAAGAAAATCCGATAAAACCCAAGTACCCTATTGACTCAAGAGATTAGAAAAACAATCATCAACACACGGCGGCTTAAATGATTGGTCTTGCAGATTTTATTATTGTTATCTTAACTTAAAATTTTAAAACAACACACTGGCAATTCAATTTCAAAAAATTTGAATTACCACGGGGATTAATACATAGAAGTGTGTGAGCCAGAATCCCCCATATAAGGAAAACAACTCATCTAAGTCGGAGTATATAGGAGAATCTTTAACTTTTAGAGGAGTACCCTCAAACTATCTTTTTACAAAAGTAGAAATCTACTTTTAAATCTTTGCCCACAGCAGGCAGATTTTACGTCTGTTTTACAAATCTAATAAAAATCCAACCTCTTAGCTGGCAGCCCTATAAAGTCTGTAATTGCAAATACTAAGACGTGATTTTTAAAAAACTGCTCACGAGATTAATCATTAAAAATCCACTGAAATCAGTTGTAAATAGTCACTGCCTCGGGGTGACCATGAGGCCCCTAAAATGTGACGTCATGGCTCATATTTAGCTATCTAAACCTTGTTTACAGAACCTGCAAGAACAAATTCACAGGAGTGGGAACTTCCTTTGCGCCGCCCCTGCTGATAACGCGACACCAGTTAAAAGGCGCTCAATTTTCGGTCCTCGGAGAGCCGGCCGCGGCTGCTGACCCCAGCCCACCCACAGCTTCCCGCAGGCCCGGACCGAGGTCGCGGCGGCCACGGAGGTCCCCCCCCCCCCGCCCCCCGGGCCGCGGGCCCCCCCATGTTAGCCTCCCATGCCCCAGAAAGCCCCCAACCATTTTTTCCCCCTTTTTTTTTTTTTTTTTTTTTTTTG